ACTACTACTACTAATACTACTACTACTACTACTACTACTAGTAGTACTAGTACTATCTACTACTACTACTACTACTACTACTACTACTACTACTACTACTACTACTACTACTACTACTACTACTACTACTACTACTTATTATTCTTGCTCTTATTCTACTACTACTACGACTACTACTACTACTAGTATTCGTACTGCTAGAGCTATCCCTGCACCTACTCCTACTCCTGCTCCTACTCCTACTTATAATTCTACTCCTGCTCCTGCTCCTGCTGTTGCTCCTACTCCTACTCGAACTCCTACTCCTACCTCTACTCCTACTCCTACTCCTACTCCTACTCCACTCCTACTCCTCCTCCTCCTCCTCCTCCTCCTCCTCCGCCTCCTCCTCCTCCTACTCCTAGACCTAGTCCTAGTCCTGTCCTGGTCCCAGTCCTAGTCCTAGTCCTGGTCCTGGTCCCGGTTCTGGTCCTAGTCCTACTCCTCCAAATCCTACTACTACTACTCCTACTACGCCTACTCCGATTCCATCTACTCCTGGTCCGTCTCCTCCTTCTCCTCCTCCTTCTTCTCCTCCTCCTCCTCCTCCTCCTCCTCGGGCTCCACCCCCTCCCCTCAGCGTGCCAACGTGAGGGGGAGTGGTAGGGTGGGGGGCAGCTCCAGGGGGAGCAGCTCGACCTGGAATGGGCATCACATCGCTGATAGACCGACGATAGCCCTTCCATGGCGAGTCCGCACGCTCCTGAGCCAGGTGGGCCAGCGGGAACCCAGCGGCGATCTATGGGCGATTGGGGGTCGATGCCCCCCCCGCCCCCCTCCAGAGCCCATCCCGAAACAGTGCCCCTGACATCGGGAGGGATGGGCGGCGCGCGCGCGCGTTGCAGCCCCTCGTGCGCCAGCTCGCGTGCGCGCGCTCAAGGTGCGCGCTGGATGTGGGCGCGCGCAGTGTCCGCCGTGGCCGCCGCGCGAACGCCCGCGCGGCGGCGGGCCGCGGGGGTATCCTGGGGAGTGCCGAACATGGCTGGCGGAGGCGGCAGCAGTGAGGGGAGAATTGCCAGGCGGGTGGGGAGGAGGGAGGGCGGGGAGGGCGGGGCTGATGCGGCGCGGGTCCGTGCGATGGAGCGTGCTCCTCTTGCTTCAGTGCGGCGTAGGCGGTGGGTGGCGCGCAGACCACCGACTCCACCACCGGAGAGAGGGCGGGGAGGGATGACAGGGGGAAGAAGGGAGGGGGGGAGAATGAGGGTGGGGGGGGGATTGCGAGGGGGGGGGGCGGGAACGGAGACGCGGGGAGGACAACCACGACGGCGCTGACGGCGGCGATGGCGATGGCGGCGGGAACGCCCTCCGAGGGCCTCCGGAGGTGCCAAACACCACGGTGACGGCATTGGACGAGGAACCGTTGGATACGGAAGCCAGTCCGAAAGCCGGTGGAACGTCACTTGAGGTTTGGCCATGGATGTCGCCGCCGCCTTCATCAAATATGGAATCACCTCATTCACGAACGCCCCCAACGTACCAGCAGCGTGCAGAGATCTCCGCCCTCGATCCATGGCCGAGGCGGGGCGGCGACGGCAGAGAGCCGTCAGCGCCGGCGCCTTCCGGGTCAGGCACACCACCGCCGGGGCCGCCAGGGCGCCGTGCTCGGCCTGTGCTGGCCGTTTCCGCACTTCATCTTCATCTTCATCGTCTTCGCCTTCGTCTTGGTCTTCGTCTTCGTCTTCTTCTTCATCTTCAGAAATGGTCCTCATTATTTTTCAATGTTTCTTCTTATTCTTCTTATCCTCCTCGGTGACTCGGTGATGCGGACTCGTCTGTTCCCTCGGAACTGGAGCCCTCGCCCCCACCCATCCTCGTGCCAGGGTGCTGCACAAGAGGGCCAGCATCGCAACCCGAAGGGGGGGCTACCCCAGGGCGAAGGGAGAACAAGGACGGGGGCGACACGGGAGGACACAGCAGCAAGACCTCCTCCTCCTCCTCCTCCTCCTCCTCCTCCACCTCCTTCTCCTCCTCCACCGTCTCCTCCTCCTCCTCTGCGTCTCCTCTTTCTCCTCCCGCTCCTGCTCCAGTCCTCCCTCCGGAGGCCGGTGCAACCATCGAGCCGCCGCGAGGGACGCTGGGCAAGGAACGAGGGGGCTTGCCTGGCCACGGCGGGCCTGGGCAGCGACGAGGTTCCCCGACCGAGATCTACAGAACGGCCCGAAGACAAGAGCCCCCTCATCCTGAGCAACCAAAGTGGCTCTTATTTCAGCGCCTTCGGCCGAGCCCGCAGGCGAGTGTGCGCAGACTGGCAGCGGCGATGTGCCCGAGAGTGCAGGCTTTCCTGTCTGCCCAGCTCGAGCGCCATGGGTCTTGAACGCTGTCTGCTGCTGGAAAATTGGCTGGCGCGCTCCTCCTCCTCCCGCGCCTCCCTCCCTCCGGAGGCTCGCCGGGTTGATCGCGGCGTTCATGGTTCATTTCGGCTTCGTTCTTCGACTGGTCCCACGCACGCACTGATTCAATCCCTCCCCCCTTCCGCCTCCCCTTGTCCTCCTCCACCTTCTTGTTCTTCTTCTTCTTCTTCTTCTTATTCCTCCTCCTCCTCCTCAACCTCCTCCCCCCTCCTCCCCCCCTCCTCCTCCTCCTCCGCCTCCTTCTCATCCTCCACCTCCTCCTCCTCCCCCTCCTCCCCCTCCTCCCCCTCCTCCTCCTCCTCCTCCTCCTCCTCCTCCTCCTCCTCCTCCTCCTCCTCCTCTGGGTCTCTTCCTACCCTTCACCTCTTTTGTTGTATATCTAATCCCCCATGTCGACGCACCATGCGTCTGGCTAGGGCGGGCCGGCCGCTCCGCCTGAGACAATGCAGCAAACTGCGATCTCAAAGCAAGCTTCGCGTTCCCAGCAACTGCACGGATGGAGGGCGGGTGGTTATACAACAATGGAGCTGTCGCCATGGTGCCGCAGACGCTCGTCTTCAAACTCTCAGCACGGTGCTCTGATGTAGGGCGGGTGGTTTTCAAGGCACGGCGCATGCTTGTCTGAAACAACACCGACAAGTACAATTATGGAGGGCGGGTGGTTCTCGAAATGGGGCTCTAATCTGTTTGGTGCAACGAACATTCGTCTTAAACAAAATAAATCAACGCCACGGGTGGAGGGCGATTCCTTTTCAAAACGGAGGACGTCGTTCGGTTTTATGACGAGTCGACTAGAACTGCGTGACAATGGCACTGGTAGGGGGTGATTCCGTTCAACAGCGGGGCTTTCGCTGGAACATTTCTTGAACCGGCCCACATTGTCGTTTTCCTTTTAGCTCGAAGCATGGGCGGTTATTCTTTCAAAACGAAGCTCCTCGAGTGGGGCGCTTCGAGCAATGTGCTTTCACGGAATAGTGAGGAGGGCGATCCACACGGGAGGGTGTACTGCACCACTGTCGCTGCACCCTGGGTCTACTCTGGACCCCCTCTCCTCCTCTACCCTCCCCCCTCCCCCTCCTCCTGATGCTTCCCCTCCTCCCCCTCCCCTCCTCGGTGCTGGAAGCAGCCTGCATTGGTCCTCGTCGCCGCCGCGGCCTGGGCCCCCGCGTGCCGCCGCGGGCCGCAGCAGGGCCGCCGACGTGCCGAGGGCCGCCGACGGCCGCTGCGGGCCGCCGAGGGCCGCCGGGGGGCCGCCGAGGGGAGCCCCGCGGCGCCCCGACGGGCACCCGGGGGGGGCACGCCGCCGCGGGCGGGCGGATGCTCGTGGAGGCGGGCGTCGCCTCGAGGGCGGCCTGGGGGCTCTGTGTGTGCACCCTGTTTCCCAGGCTCTTTGGGGGGCGCTGTGCGAAGAGCCATGCGGAGTCCGTGGGCGGAAGGCCGGTGGAGCTCCAATCGTGGGTTGGCCGTGGGTGTCACTGCCGCCCTCGTGCGACATTTGAAGAATCCCCTGCGGCCTGAAGACTCCTGGGTACGTTTCTTAGACATCGCCCCCACCGTTGCATCTCGCCTAAGGTATATATACATATGGATGTATGCATGTATGTATGTATGTATGTATGTATGTATGTATGTATGTATGTATGTATGTATGTAGGTACGTACGTCTGTACGTCAATATGTATACATATTCATATGTATATATCGGAGGTTGGGGGGTGAAATCACAGGGGGACGGAGACCCCCAACCTGGAAATCGTTTCGTTTCTTTCGTGTCGTGCGTGCGGGCGAGGCGAAGCTGCGTGGGCGCGCGACAGGAATGAACCCACCGTTGCTAGGGCGACGTCAAGACAAGTGTTTCTCCTCCGTCCGTCCGTCCGGCAGTGGCTTGAACGGTGTCCCGCGGTGTCCCGTGGTGTCCGCCGCTGCTAAGGCGAAATCAAGACCAATGTTTCTGGCTTGAACGGTGTCCTGCGGTGTCCCGTGGTGTCCGCCGCTGCTAGGGCGAAGTCAAGACAAATGATTCTCCCCCGCCCGCCCGTCCGTCCGTCCGTCCGGCGGTGGCTCGCGGTGTCCCGTTGAGTGAGATCGATCGTGAAATCGATAGTGATATCGATAGTTAAATCGGTCGTGAGATCGATACTGGGATAGATGTGGTGCCCCGAGGTGTCCCATGGCTTCCCAAAAAGTGAGATCGATAGTGAGATCGATGGTGAAATCGACAATGAGATCGATGTGGTGTCCCGAAAAACTCCCATGGTGTCCCGTGGGGTTCTATGGTGTACCGTTGCGTGAGATCGATAGTGATATCGATTGTGAAATCGAGAGGTGTCCCGTGGTGTCCCGTGGCGTCCCGAAAAAATGAAATCGATAGTGAGATCGATTGTCAATCGATTGTGGGATCGAGAAGTGTCCCGTGGTGTCCTGTTGAGAGAGGTCGATAATAAGATCGATAATGAGATCGATGTGGTGTCCCGTGGTGTTCTATGGTGTCCCGTTGAGTGAGATCGATAGTGAGATCGATAGTGAGACCGATAGTGAGATCGAGAGGTGTCCCGCGGTGTCCCGTGGTGTCCCGTGATGGCCCGTGGTGTCCCGTAGCGTCTCGTCGGGTGAGATCGATAGTGGGATCGATGGTGAAATCGACAAGTGTCCCGTGGTGTCCCGTTGAGTGAGATCGATCGTGAAATCGACGGAGTCAGATGTTGGTTCCCCCCCTCTCCCCCCCCACAACCTCCTTATCACCCGAAGAGGTGGTCGTATAGGTATATATGTATATCGGAGGTGAGGGGGTGAGAGCGAAGTGGAACGGAGAGCCCCCCCACCGGGAAATCGATTTCGGTTTCGTGTTCGTGCGTGCCGTGCGGGCGAGGCGAAGCTGCGTGGGCGGGCGAGAGAAAGTCTCCTGTGGCTGAGGCGCGGCCGGACCAAATGTCTCCCTTCCGGGCGGCCGGGGGCCCGCGGTGTCCCGCTGGTGTCCCGTGTGGCTGAGACGCGGCCGGACCAAATGACTCCCTTCCGGGCGGCCAGGGGCCCGCGGTGTCCCGCCGGTGTCCCGTCGGTGCCCCGTCGGTGTCCCGATAATGATGATGTTGATGATGATCATGATAGTTGTGTTGATGGTGATGATGATGACGATGATGGTGTCCTGGTGATGATGATGATGATGTTGATGATGATGATGATGATGAGATGACGATGATGTTGATGTTCTGCCCGTTGTTGTTGATGATGATGTTGGTAGTGCTGATGCTGCTGATGATGATTATGGTATCCCGATGATGATGATGATTATGACGGTGGTGATGATGATGGTGATGGTGATGGTGTGCCGATGATGATATTGATGATGCTGTTGGTGATGATGATGCTGCTGATGATGATGGTGCCCCGATGATGTTGATGATGCTGTTGATGATGATGATGATGATGATGATAATGAGCTGATGCTGATGATGGTGTCCCGATGTTGTTGATGATATTGACGATGACAACGATGGTGACCATGATGGTGTCCCGATGATGATGCTGATGGTGATGATGACGATGGCTGTGTCCCACTGGTGATGTTGATGATGTTGTTGATGATGATGATGAGATGACGATGATGTTGATGTTTCTGCCCGTTGTTGATGATGATGTTGGTAATGGAGATGCTGCTGATGATGATTATGGTATCCCGATGATGATGAGTATGACGGTGGTGATGATGATGGTGATGGTGATGGTGTACCGATGATGATATTGATGATGATGTTGGTGACGATGATGCTGCTGATGATGATGGTGTCCCGATGATGTTGATGATGCTGTTGATTATGATGATAATTAAATGATGATGGTGTCCCGATGTTGTTGACGATATTGACGATGACAATGATGGTGACCATGATGGTGTCCCGATGATGATGATTCTGATGATGACGAAGGCTGTGTGCCGATGATGATGATGATGTTGCTGACTATCATGAGATGATGATGGGGATGATGATGGCCTGATGATGATGATGATGGCGTTGATGATGATGACGATGATGATGTTGATGACGACAGTGTCCCGATGACGATGAAAATGATGTTGGTGATGATGATGATGATGACGTTGAATGTTAGATCCATTGTGATATCGGTAGTGAGATCGATAGTGAGACCGAATGTGAGATCGATAATCAGATCAATTGTGAGACCGAGCGAATGAGATATATCGAGTGAGATCGATTGTGAGATCGATCGAGTGAGATCGATCGAGCGAAACCGATAGTGAGATGGATAGTGAGACCGATCGAGTGAGACGCTGCATCCTCCCCCTCCCCGAACCTCCTTATCACCCGAAGGGTGGTCGTATAGGTATATATATATATATATATAGCCGCCGAAACGGGGGGCGGGAATCCGAGGAGACGCCGAGTTTGGCATCAAGTCCGGCAACCGTTTCGACTGAGACCGCCTCGCAACTTATTCAAGAACCGTGTTGTCGCCTCGATGCCGACTCTATTTGTGGTTGCTGCTTGTTCCCATGGCACCTGAAGCTCATGTAGCGGCACGGGCGCGAGGGGTCCACGACCCTGTTGATGAACACCCTCTTGTATTCACCGCCCATGGCCTTGGCTTCGTGCTCCTGTGCGACGATCGATCTCGGCGGCACGTCGCCAGGTTGGTCGCGCCCGAGTGGCCGCCCGCGAACTTGCGCGTACCGTCGGCCTCGTGAACAATGGCGTCAGCTCATCTCGGCTGTGATCTCACAGGTCACGCGCTCTCCTCGGACCTCTGGCCAATCCCTCTCGCCCGACGGCGAGCTCGGCGACAGAGGGACTCTGCCGGCCTGGCGGCCTGGCTCGCGCCCGCAGCCCAGCAGGGCGCACGGGGCGCTGCCGCTATAGCTAGCGACCTCCCTCCGCGGGTCCTCTGCCCGGCGGCCTGGCTCCAGTCCCGGAGGGTCCTGTGGAGCGCTGCTCCACGCCCTCGACCCTCCTCCGCGGTACTCCGCCACGGCCCCCGTTGGCTTCCTCCTGCGCGACGGCATGGCGAGCGCCAGGGAGGACGACATTCTCGCACTTCCGCTGCGCCACGTCGCGGGCGCAAGCCCAAGGGCCAGCTGCGGCGCGCAACCGTAACTCAGAAACGGCCGAGCGCCTGAGCTCAAGTGGCCACAGAGGTCGGACAAGGAAGAGGATAGAGTCAGACCTAGACCTTAATAACATCCTTCAAAAACATGAGACCCTCCGCTGGCCAAAACACCCCAAACGATAAGATCATTCGAGGCCAAGGACACACAAAA